TGATGCACTCTTTAAACACATAGATCAGCTCTAGAAGAAGTGTCAGCTCTACAACCGAGTGATCTTATTAAGTTGTCGTATAAAAGTTTTAACTAAAACTTCATATTGGACAACATGAATTAAAAAGTTTAACAACGAAACTAAAAAGGCCAAAGTTGAACAAAACCTTTTCGTCTGTGATATGTGATAATGTTCAAAGCAAAAATTGTTGGTGTGAAGGAGATAGGCTTTAAAGTTTACGATGGATTCCCTACTGCTCATTGAAGTATTTCCCGTGACAAATTGCTATCTCTAAATTATTCTCGAAGATTAATTTCATAAAAGTTGTCCAAAGTATTAGAATTAAATATTTGAACATTAAAAAGTAAAGAAATCGAGAAACTCGTTGGTAATTTAATTAGATACGAATTAAACTAATATATTTAATCATAATATTTGATCGATTTTGCATTCACAATGCTATACTGAAAAATATTCTTAATGAAAATTGTTTAAAAATCCCATTTGTCCATAGGACTCAAACCCATGACATTTTAGCAATCCGGGCGGCTGCTTTAATATATTTAACATAATTTTCTTTTCGAGAGTGGGCGTAAGGTTGAAAAATGGTCTCTGTCTCATTGCGCCTGGTAATGAAACTGGGAGTATGGTGAACTGCGTAGCAAAAACATAGTGTTGAAATAACATTAGCCTCAAAAACTACAGAACCGATATGACAGGACATAAACCCGTAAACTGCCACGCGTACCCAGCGCGTATTGGTCGGTGCTAACGACTGCAAATGTAACCAGCTTCAAAGACTTTACATGCCTCTTGAGGCGATATGTTTTTAGTCACTTTTTTGGCTTAGTTGTCGCAATCGTAAACTCTTCAAAGGCCGCATGCTTATATGTTAATTGTGCTGATAGGAAGCTTAACCGGATCTCAAGTTATGAATAAATATCGTTAGTGACCAAGAATCCTATTACTTGACGGTGACGTGTAATACGGCTTTAAGAGAAATATTTCCGCGCTCACCCCGGTGACGACGCCATACATTAAAGCTATAAAATCTACTCGTAAAGGGATACTAGAGACCGTATAAAATAACGAAAACATATTTTCTTTACTGCCGCAAATTTAATAGTTTCCTGGAAAATGTTACACTTATTAGCTTTCCGCAACAAATAAGAAAAAAAAAACAAATACGAGTTCCTAGCTATACTCTGTTCCTAGGGTAGGTAATGAAACGACCAATGACCCAAAATATTATGCGAGTGTTGAAAGTAAACAGTACATATCGCTCTCCATACAACACTGCTTTATTTTCACGAAGTACTGCGTTTTGTTGTATGGTACGCTATGTTACCTGGCTTACTCCACCTCATACAACAAAAGAGGCAGTACTTCACGGAAACGATACAAGTAAATAAGGTAGCTATCAGTCCGGCTTTAGCCGTTTCCGTTTTAGGTCACCTTCGGCTAAATATTTTGATGTCCTCCGACCTGTACGGTTTTTTAGGCTTTTACTCAAATGCCAAATATGACTTTAATAAACCTGATTACTGATTGTTTTTATTTAACTGATTAATGTATGAGTAATAAACAACTATAACTTATAACAGATTCGTTACTATGATAAAAGTTGTAATTATAAAATTAAAAACGTATTACATCACATTATTAAATATGGTAAAGTCCGGTTTTAGTATAGAATGTCCAGCCTTATGAAAGGCATAGTCAGACTTTAATTTTGGATGATGGTAACCCAACACACCGAGGTCTATACGTACGGTATTCTTCCGACGCTCACATTACATCAAGAAATTACAGTGACTAACATAAAACAAAATCACCGGTCTAATAAGAATTTAAATGGGTTACAGTCTTAACCATATACGGAGTGTATAAGCGTTGTCTATCAAACAGAGTGCTAAAAGCACATTGTCTTGACGAGCAATTCACAAATATTTCTGTAATAAACTGACGTGAACATACATCAAACCAATTAGGAATGTTTCCAATTTTTATACGTCAAACAAACTTGTACTACCGTATAAATAAAGACTTAATACCCCGCAAGGAATTCAAGATGAGCATAGAATAGATGAATTAATTGCATTAAGACGTAAGAGAAACGCGATAACAAACTTGTTCAAAGTAGGAAGGTAATATTAGAACGTTATTTGGTAAATAGCAGACTTCGAGAAGCGACTATATTTCAGAGTAACCAACTGCTAGGTAACTTGGCTATTTAATAATTCATACCGCTCGCCTACACGAGAACTCCTCCGGCTAGATAGTGGCGACCCGACGCGACGTGAGGGCTACCGGTAACCTAGAAACGGTGACGTTTAAATAATAGAGGCGGTTGAATCGTGACAAACCTACCCTCATATTTTCATTATCATAAATATAAAACCGGCTAAGAACGAGTCCGACTTGTAAGCAGATTAAGCAGAAATACCTACTAAATTTAAAAACCGAAGACTACTTTATAGGTAAATGAAACAACTTTTAATCGGTTTCATCGCTTTTGCACAAGGTTTTATTGACGTTTCAGACCCTTTACAGGTTCCGTGTTCACACAAGACTAAAGTATTGATTGTCTTTTTAATTAAGAGTATAGCTACCTTCAAATACAAACATTTGAACACATTCACAATAAAAAAATATATATTTTATGGCAACGTACACATTTATTGGATTAAATAATTTTAAAAATACATTTAATAAACTATTTACCCCAGGCTACCGTAATAAAGATTTTGTTGTCTATAGATATGGATCAGATTCCGACATTTTAGGAGCAGTTGTTTCTAAGGCCAGCTATGCTATTCTGCTCAGCTCAGCGCTGTCACATCATAGAGCTTCAATGAAATAAAACTTTTATTACGTTTTGAAGAAGGTTTTATTTAACGTCTTTGATATGATAGCATTTTGTTCGACAAGTTAAAGGCCAAATCTTAATTCAATCGAACCAGTAGTTCTAGAGAAAATCTGCTAAAATAGACAATCACACGAGTGATTTAAGGGTAGCGTTTTTCCTATAATGGTATGGAACCCTTAAAAAGCATCAAATATTATTGACAAGGACACTCCGTATACTTTTACTTTATGGGAGTGTCCTCGTATTATATATTCCTATTAAAATATCTATTTTAACTGGAAAAAAAAAATGGAATATATTATAAACAACAACTCACAATAATCACATTCCGAGTTAACTTTTACTTGATTTAAAGATCAGGTTTACGTTACACTTAATAGCGATAATTGATACGTCGAACTAGAGAAAACGTAGACACGCATTTGTTGTCTGTCATCCATAATGTATCACGTATTTCTATTCTATACAAATATTATAAAGAAGACATCAGATTTTTTTTTTCATTTGCATTGCATAGACTCCGAAACTGCTGAACCAATTTTAAATTATACGCTGGTGAAGTCGCGGGAAAACTACTAGTTGTATACTCGTTTAAAAACGTCATGGCGAATTTATATCCAAAATGGAATTTATTATTTTTATTTAGAAAAACAACCTTGATGGGATTGGCAATGTTGATCAATCTATAAAAATCAGCAGATTTCATGACATTGAAATTATTTAGAACTTAATCACAATACAAATTATCTTGTATTGGCAACCAATAATAAATAAAACATTTAAATGTGTAAAAATACAAAACCAATTCATGAATTAAGTACATATACGATATCTCACTGTTTCACCACTTATCAGTAGGAGCTCAATGGGCCGACCGGTACATCAGTCTGACGGAAGATTCATTGCATCTTGTCGGTCCCGGAACGTCATAACTGACAAATTATATGGCAAATTCCGTCGCGTTCTAACGAATACTTCCGTAACGCGCTTAACGGATCTTTCGTCAGGTTTGCACGGATCTTAAACTCACTATCCGTCATTGTAATGTCTGTAAGGTCTCCTAAAACATCCAATGCAAAGAATTTACATCAAGTTTTCACTTTTCTCCAACTTATAAGAAGCTTTATCACCCATGTTAACTCTGGACTGACGCACCATATAATATAGCAAAAACATGGTTTTATACAGAAGGATTTGCAAATATTTTTTTCAGTATAGAAAACTTCATCAGAATCTGCAGTGTTAGTACAAAGAACAACTAACTTAACGTAAAATTCGAAGTTCAAGTGTATAAAACTGTACATTCACATTCAAATCGCAAACAATACCGATAAAAGTATAACCATTTATCTAGCTATTCAATAATTCAGCACATGATTCTAGGAAAACTTTTCTCTTTACAAAAGAACACAAGTATCATGAATTTTTCATGTTTTATAATTGTGTTTGAGTCCAGTTTAGAATTTTAGTGTCGCTTAGAGGACCGACAATAATTCACTTATCACTGTAAAATAAACTTTACGAAACTGATTGAAATAGAATTAATCAGATTGTATAAGACGGGTATTAACGGCGTGGTCATGAGCCGGTGTAACCTGGTCGAAACGTCGGGAAAAATAGGTAGGTGAAAAACCTAACTATCGAAATCTATCCCATTAAAACCCGTCTTATACAATCTAATATAATGCAACGCGAAATAGAATTAATCAACAACAAAGACTAATACTAGTAATCGAGAAATAACATTTGATAGTTCGTAGTTCGACCTATCGAATGTATATGACATACTAATTTCTATAGAATTCGGACATAATATGAACGCATCAAGAGAGCTTCTTCGACTCTTATGTCTAGAGTTCATTGATTTATTCTATCATAAACAAATCTGCTTCCTGATAAGCAGAGAAGAGCAGAAATGAAATTCTCAACATATTTTTTTCAACAAACAAATACGGATAATCATGAAGGTTAACTTAAATGGCAAACATTGACCGAAGTATGACCACATGTATGACGTTGAATTGTACGATGGAACATTTTTACTCCCTTTACTCCCATTACTCAGCCTCATCGCATTGTCGGTTCAGTAGGAACTAGATTAATATAAAAACAGTTTAGCTAAGGTACTCACCGGCTGAAGGCGTGACGATGTTGGAGTTTTTGGTTTGCGTATGCATCGGTGTGCTGGTTGTGCGCGAGGATGGTGGCGCACGCCTACACGGTGGCGTGCATTCCGGCGGCGCATTACGCTGAAAACATGAAATCTAATTTATTACAGTTCTACGAAGGAGGTTAGGACTTTTTTTGCTTCTTAACAGCTTGCAATGGCTGATTTACCACAGGATTTAGTAATAATAGCTCCATTGCTATTCAGAACGGTCAATCATATTGACAAAATTAAATGAATACAGGTGTAGTAGCTGAAAAATCTTTGGGAATAAAAAGCTTCATACACATTTCGAAGTACGTTATAGGGAAAACATGTAACATACAACAAAAGCTCATAACCTCAAGTGTTTCGGCCGCATTCTAGCCGCAACAGACGTCGTTAACACCCTCCAATCCGTACTGGGTTCACTGGGTTAGTCACTGCTTGCTAGAGAAGAAGAAAACCTGTACCCACCAATGACGACATCGATATTTTAATTATTTAGGTATACTTAATTAATAATAATCGAGAACACGCATAGCGAATTAAAAAAAATCTACAGAAGTTTGCATTTTTATCAGAATTCACGTCTTTTAATTACGAAGAAATAGTGCGTCATTTTTAAAATACGTTACCAAAATCAAAAGTTACTAATTACGAAATTATCATAATGGCAACAACCGAAATGTATTTTCTCAAATTTAAATTTGTTTATCTGTATAGCGCTTATTAAACATTTTATCAAAAATTTATACATTATGTTTATGAAATTAGAGAAATTAAATTTCTTAAGATTGAATTGTGGTTCGTAATGACATACCTACTTGAACAAATGTGTTTTAACTTAAATCATTTCAAGTTTGTTTGAGTGGTTTTCTTTGCCCTTGTTACAAAAGCAGTTACAGAAAATCTAATAATAACCAAGGACGAATATTAATTTCCTTTACCCAAAATTTCGTCTCCTTTTCATATTCAAGCAAACAGACTAAATAAATAAGAATCCGAAATTAGTATTAATTTACATTTTAAATGTTCGATAATAATCAAGACAGATTAAACACGATAATACCGGTTTACAGTATTCAATAGCATAGTAAGCTCGAAAATTATAAATAAAATATTAGACTACACCAGATATATTGCTCAGATCACAAATTAAGCAGCTAAAGCACTTGTATTATGGAAATCTAAAACAACGAAGGTTACACAATACCCAGCTCTGAGATAATATAAAACTAATTTTTCTACATTAGCCCGACCGGATATCAAAATCGGGACCTCATAGATGGCGAAGGAAACCTTGAGTGTATATATATATATCGAATAATAATACAATACATGAAATGAGACGTTAGTAGGTTGTGTATTCATTTGTTTATTAAGAATTAAGTAAATAATACGATTATTATGTTACTCAACAAACTCACCGTTTTGATCTTGTGTTCTTTGAAATAGATCCTCATTCTAAAACACTATGATGTACTCATGAATTTTATGGCATCACATAAGACTCGAGAGCACTTGTTTCCTCGACATATGCGTTTACACTGAGATTTATCGAATAATAATTTCTAGTCAGTGCAACGACTTACGGTCGCGATATTCGTGACTGTAACGAATTAGCAATGGAATCTCTTTAATTGCTAAACGACTCAGATGTTTAGGTGATGAAAATGTAACAACTCATGACCTTAAGAAAGGTAAACTAAATTTTATCAAAACATGTAACTATTAGTAGCGAAGGACGCATAATAATAAAGGAAATTATTTTACTATCAAAACATGGGTATCCATCCTTTCAGTGATTCGTAAAAACATTAGCCATCTTATATAAAAACAAAGAGTAACTTGAGATTTAAATTTTAAACCATTATCCGACCAAAATAAGTGAACACATCTCAATTTGAAGTTTCATCTTCTGACATAGTAAATTTGCTTTATGCGGCTAATGATTTAATCCGAGTATTAAATTTAACCCCCGTTTTATAATAAATACGGTATCGGTCGATTCATATCTGATGGAAAATACGTCGCGTAATTATCACTCGCAGAGCTAACAAATAATAAATAAAAATCACCCTTACACACTCAACACTAAAACGCTTGTTAGATCTTCAGTCAGATTTTCACTGGTCGTAAAGTCGACCGCGTTTTATCTATCTGAATATGAATGCGAAACAGGTGAGAATCATTATTTGTTGAAGACTAAAATTTTAAAAATCGAAGAGCCAACTAACCAGATTAAACCTGATTGAATGATTTACATTGTACGAATATTCGCAATTAACTGCAACCGACCACAACGGTGGTCAATAATCTCGTAATAACTCACCTAGTCCCAATTTCCGACCACAGTGTAGCAAGTCAACCTTCGGAAGGCTTATAGAATGTCGATCTAGGCAATCTAAGAGGCGAGCAGGCAACTCCTCCGCAATGCGAATATTTTAGCATGCTAACTTAACTAGTTTCGACGATAATACCAGTACAATATTAAATCAAGACACATTAAAATAATTCAAGTCTAAAAATAAATCCGCTGTTTGTCAGTTTTGAATGGTTAATTTTAAATTAAGCAAACGATTCTGTTGGTGATTTTATTACAATTTACACAATATATCACAATTACTTGCTGATAATACTATGTGAAAGACTAAAATACGAGTACAAATCGTGATGTCGGTACATGTTGTTAAATAAATTAAATTAATATTAAACAACATCACATACATTGCTCCGATTCCAAGATGAGTACCTAAAGTCCCCGTATTATGGAGTACCTGAGATAACGATGATACCACAACACCCAGACCCGAGACAATATAGAAAAGTTCATTTTCTACATTGACCTGACCGAGACTCTGATATAAGTGTGATAATAATTGATTAATGTAAAAAAGTTTATTGAAACGCATAGAACACGATTCAATAGTAACTTAATTTATTTATGAATCACAGGCTATACTAACAGAAAAATATTTTTGAATGCAAAATCTAAGATAAAGTTAAGAACTTAAGATTACTTAATACTAAATGAAAAATCAAAAAGTGGTCAAACGCGAGGTTAACCCACGAAGAGTTCCGTAGCAGCGTATACCACTGATATTTCTTGCTAGCAAAAAATTGCTTTATTTTTCATAGTGTTTTTATATAAGTTGTATATGCTAGCGGTGTTTGAAAATATGTTAATCTCTAAAACTGCTGAATAGGATATCTCTCATTTTCGTTGAAAGTTTTCAAGAGATCTACAGAACATATTATTTTTAATTTTCCACTCCCTTCTTTTTAAAGCAAAAGGAGACACACATTTTGCCACTTTGGAAATTCAATGTCACTTTTGAAAATTTATAAGAAATTATATTAGATTTTGATTTTTGTTAGTTTTGTGTTTTTTAGTTTTTAGACCTTACTTTTTTTAGTTTTAGTAGGTGACTATACCCTTAACTTTTTAATATGTTTTGTGTATAAATCGTAAAACTTCACAGACAGTAGGGGTTCTCCTAATAGTTTCGATAAAAGTGAACCGTTGAAAGTAGCTTTATTATTATATTTGATTAAATTTGCATTCAAAGTGCTATCCTGATAGGTATTTATAATAGTTCTAAGCATTTTTCTTTAAGAAGCATCATTATTTTACACAATGACGACATTCTTACGACACGTCCATTGTTATGCCTATCATAATACCATTTAAATATAATTGAGATTGTTTGACCTTTAAAATATAAAAAAATCTTTTCTTAGTCGCGAGGCGTTACGTGAAAAGAATTTTCTTTGTCTAAAAATACGGCAAAGAGATATGATGGATCAGCTTTGACTCCTACGTCAGCGCTATGAATAAGTGTCTCACGTAACAATATCCTTGCCGTCATGTTGTCTATCTACACCCCTTATGACACGGAATTAACATCATTGATATTGAGAGTTACAAGGAATAATTAAGACAAACGGAATGTCTATCAATAAATATAATAACATTATTAGATGTGACATATAAGTTTAAGTGTTCATCTTATCACTAAGCTTTTTCATTAAGTTATCAAATACAAAAGGGTTAAATTTAAACACGATATAATCTGACTTTATAAACCGAAACAGTAGATGGGAATATACAAAGATTCGTTAAAGTAACAATTAAATTTACGACTTTGTCTCTAACCCGTTTAGTCTTAAAATATAAATCTATATTGATAAGATCATGTTATATTTTACGATACACTATCAAAACTCGATTACTCTTAGAACAATTGTTAAATCAGAGAGCAAATCACAATTCATCGTTCTGTTTTATGGTTCATTAGCGATAACAATAGTTATATTGCAGTTGTGTCTACGATACTTTAGATTAAGCAATCATTTCGAAATTTCATGGCCGATATATGTAATATGAATGAACATGGCTGGATCACAATGTAAGATAGCTTTAATTTTAATAACTATTGTAAATGTCGCAATAAGCAAATATTATGAAACGTATTCGAATTTCTTCACAAATAATGATCTAAATACTTACTAATGATCAGAAGATTCGGCGGTTGTCAAGCAACGAAATAATTTGTCTGGTGACCAGAAAATTCTCATTGGTAAAGATAACGATTTTGCTGTGTCTTCGTAGACTTATTGTCATGACGACAAATTTATTCTATTACACCATCGGATCGAATAACTTTTATGGTGTACAGCGCGTGTTTTTATTGATATTGAAATCACTAAATTCAAGCCTTTAAATAAAATTAGCAATTTAAAGTGTATTAGCATACATTAATCGACTATTTTGGTAGCATCTAATGATTACTATTTTACTTAGACCCATAAGACAGTTATGGATACACGCGTGGGCATAGAATTTCAACTTGCCAACTAAGCTTTTGGTGTAATTGATTTTGAGAATAATGTGTTTGCAATTACTCAACTAATAAACAAACTCACTCGCAGACTAAACTTCCTAGATAGACAAGGAGAGCAAAGGTCTAGGTCTAACAACATAATGACGATTAGCCTTAAAAGGTAGAAGTTCTATTTCCGTCAACAACCGTGACTGTAGTCTACTATAGGTTGCAGACAGAACCAATGTCATGTTGATTATTTGAAAACGGAAGTGGT